AAAGGAAAGAAAGTTTACCCTATTTTTTTAAAGTTTCCCCTGCTGGAAATACAAGCTGGGCCATCAGCACAGGCAGACTTTAGTTTTAGTTTTAGTAAGAGTTTTACGGCACTTGCAACACAATAAGGTCATATAAGTGCCGAAGATTGGAGGTGTTACAAGAGAGTAACAAACAAAAAAAAGAAGGAGGACAGACAAGGACGATAGATGTTTGGTAGGAAAGAAGCAGCAAACCACACCAAAGCACCAACCAACCACCTACAAATAACAACAACCACATTCCTCACACACACACAACCACCACCACATTCCTCACACACACACAACCACCACCACACCACCACCACAACAACAGGAACAACAACCACCACCACCACACCACCACGACACCACCACCACCACCATACTTACCTCCCAACCCGTCTTGGATCATTGAGCACGATCAGAGAAACACAGATTTTGTTTTGGCCTTTTCGATATTATCACAACGTCGTAGAGAACGGAATCGACGGATGGCAGTTCTCTGCCCGCTGGTGTCTATCAGAAATCTTGATCTATGTTCTCCGGATAGGATTTCACAATTCCAGACGAGTTGTCGGTGTTTCTTGTTAAATTTTCTCGTGTGGAGGGCTGTGCGTAGCGGTATCATGATTCATTCTTGTTTGGAGTTGTCTTATCGTACAAAAGCATACGATCAAGAGGATTACTGTAGCAGGTTTTAGGCGCATGCGAAGGTAAGACACGCATTTTTAAGTTTTTTTTTTTTCTTTTGTAGTATAAAACATGATGAATTAAAACATATCATTTTGTTACTTTTTGTTTATGTTTGTTAATTAACAAAGAAACTAAACATTATAATCATATCTGCTTGTCATTGTGTGGTACAAATAGAACTAGATCTATAGTTTTTTTCAGCTAAATCGATAGGGTAAAACAAGAAATCAATAAAAGCTAGATCTATCTGTAGAAGTGACAAGAAGCGGTAGCAATAAGAAATAGATCAACGAAGAAAATAATAATAATATCAGAAACAAAATAAGAGGGTAGGAGGAAACATGGGAGAGGTGAGGCAGACAAAAAGAGAGCGAGCCATAAAAATCGACATGGCGACATTGATCGGTTTTGAGATAAATGTTAGAAGGGTGTACATGTAGATCAGATATGTCCTTGGTACTATGTTACATTCTTGGTTCTTTGACTCACTTTGTATCACGTTATAAATTGCTTTTGCCATTTTACGGCCCCCAGAATAGAAACCTTGAATGGTGTATTGAGTGTCGAAGCAGGGATCAGTTCAAATGCCTTGCTCCCATGTGGAGTATATTATTACTGCTTGTATAGTGTAACAAGAGCGCCAATATAAGAACCAGTGAGGCGGAATGCATTATAGATGTTCGAGTTTTTGCTTCATTCAGCCCGAGCTTGTAGATGTGTGTGTGTGTGTGTG